GCGGGCGGCAAGTAGACGCGATCGCACGTGATATGCCGGGCAAGGCGGCAAGAAAACTCGTGAGAGCTGCAGTTTCAGCTCCGCCCAGGAGGGAAACGCAGCTTCGAATCGAAGTGCCGCAGAGTTCCGCCATGAATGTGCCTTAAAAGCAGAATTTGACGCGTCGCCAAAAAAGACATCGCCTCTATATCCGGGCGCAATATATATGTTAAGTACGATATTTGGCAATGATTAATGTTGAAGTAATTTACCGAGTCTCATCGCACCGCCTGCATATTCTCGAATGGATGCACAGCTTTGCCGCTAGTTATCAATCGATACCTTTTAATGATGTGACCTTCATATCGCTCACACGTTAGCTTCGCACACCATTTCTGTCACTACGAAGCGAAGAATGAATGACATATGTGCTTAAATCCATTTTAAACGACTAGAGTAGCAAGCTCAAGTTGATTGTCTGAATCAAATGAGTCACAACGACCTATATCGTGTTTTGAATACGCCACTACCAGTGCGACAAACGTCAGAGTAGAGCATCACGAAATGCTTGACCTCTCGAAATACAAAGAACGACGATTACATTCAGGTAAGCACTCACCACTTCTGGCTTGTGCTGTGCACAGTCTTGTTTACTTTCGTTGGCCTGCTGGTATACCTACAGAGCTTCCGGATATTTTTCAAAATTAAAACAACACCAGGCCACATTGGCAGGGAGCGCATCGCGTTAATCGGCTCCTCACTCTTTACATTGAAAAGCATGCACAGGGCTGCATAGACTGAGACAAATCATATGTGTTAACATCACCAGGGAAAGATCACCATTGATATCTCAAGTTCGATAAGGCATTTCCTCGTATGAACGATATAAGTTTTTAGAAGTAATTGATTTTTTGCTCCTAGAGCTCTCAGAGTTGTCGACACCAGATACTGGCTATTCCTGTGCGCAACTCGGGTAACTATGTCCCACTGTTGCAGTCACTTTAATACAAGTAGGCTTGGGAGTCCTGGAACTGCATGATAGCAGTCTACACACAGCGTTGAATCGGTATCGTTCGTGAGCAGATACGTCGGGAGTCTCCACATCAAAAAGTGACAGAAGAACTTAAGCATCGATCTGGTCACACTTCTACGCTTGCTGCTTTTTGGACTCCGGCATTCAGCGTTTTGAACGAGAGAGATGTCTCAGAATATTCAATGCATGATGTAGCAAGATGTCTGGATGATAAAGTTTTCTACAACAATTTTCTTTCTCGATGCGACGACGAAGAATAAAGTATTCGCGATGCAGCGCTATGTATGGCCTCCGCAAGAAGAAAATAGAAGAGAAGGGAAGAGAAGAGAAATTAAACGAGCTATTGAGTAGACTAATTCTCCGCGCAGGAATTACATTTCATCCTGATAGCGCGAGAAAAAGAACGTGAGATCTTCACGGATCTCAAAGTTCACCGCGCGTCTGTCTCGTCTGATATTCAGGAATTTCCTGCATATACTTAGGTCCGCAGTAATGCTTAATGTTGCACAAAATCACATGTACTCCAGGCTGGTAGGACCCATGCACTCATGAAGCCGTTCTGTAGAGATTGACTGAGATCATGCTATAGAGGTGCTTTCGGGTTATTTCTATCTGATGATTGTCATGTGATGCCATCGGGGCGTTTTAAAACAGGGGTTACAACTTGCTATAAGATGTGCACAAAACTCGCCCATCTGCATTTTATTGTGACAGTGGATCTCTCCAGCGTTTTCTCAATGGCATAAAATTACCATATCGCTCACGAAGTGGTGAAGGTAAATGCGTTGGGGAAAAAGATTTCAAGCGTGGTGATCATGTGGTCTCTGTCGCTCGTGTCTTGCTTGGCCCTCCTGGCGGTTGAAACGACGCGAACTTGCCTATCGCCATGAGACAGAGGAGTAGTAACCCGGGTGTTCTTCTACACTCACAAAACATTGAAGCTTAGTGTATAAATTGAGTCATACCGAAGTGGTCCTGTAAAGCAAGAAAGTGAGTGTAGTACTGACTTTTGCTAAAAAGTATGTATTCGTCTGAAAATCGCGTTTATCAGGCAGAAATATTTTTGTTTTGTCGGTCCGTTTGACGTGTATTGCTTCCTTATTTGTACGTGTAACTGTCTCAGCCTTATGGTCTGTACGCAGTGGTAGATAATCATCGATATCGATGGCAGCCTTCCCTCATTCTAGACGGGTTTGCATCCCGGTGCTTTTCGATATGTATGTTCAAAAAATCCAGTGTGAAAGAAGTTATGAAATGTTCGCTCTAGATGTGATGGCTTTTTGCAATCTAAGCGTAGCTATTTCAATTCTCAACTGTGTTTGGAGCCCAACACTTGAGTTTGTATATTCTAGAGCGTTTTATTTATTTTGTATACTGCAAGGACATCGATGTCTGGATTAAATGTGAATGTTAATAGTTGTGAAACTTCAATCTGAAAGCAAGTACTGTGATTGGCTCAAATTATATACTACAACTGCATAGTTGAATAAGCAATTTCAATGACACTTCCACCGCATTGGCGAGACCCAGCACAATGGGTTTACATATGCGCGGCGTCGTTTGTTCGAGGTTCTAGTCGTTTCTTACGCTATGCAGGTTTTTACTGTGTCATTGCTGGAATGACGTTGATTTTCCTCGTGGGTGGACTCTTTCTGCATGCCATCATTCCCATTATGGCAGAGACAACATTGGAGGTATATTCTTTCCAAGATAGAACGGAACATGTATACAAATTGGCTTACGATTGATTCTCAGTTGATAGTTCATGTGACAATTGCCATGATCTTGCTATTTAATATTTCCTTCAACTATGCGCTTTGTTGTGCTACAGACCCGGTACGATATGAAATGTTTTTATCCCGTTTGGCCATTAATCACCTGCTTTTACTTTCTATCAGGGAATCATTACAACAAAATGGACGAAAGGGACAGAAACTTGCGAAAGTGATGTAGATAATAATGCTATAGATAGCGAAGAGATTGATTTGGAAGCAGAGATTGAAGACATCAAGGATCTCGAGACTGTCGATGAAGAGATTCTTCCAAGGATTCGACCCAGCGCAGTCACTCCAGATGGAAAGAAGAATGGTGATTTTGTACGATTGTCTCGCGTGCAGCTGATTGACCCACAGAGTGTAGCAAGACAACGTGGAGGAGATGGAAGTTCGTACTGTCGAAGATGCCGCCACTTTCGCCCGGGTCGTGCACATCATTGTTCTGTCTGCGATCGCTGCGTTGCACACTTGGATCATCACTGTCCGTGGGTTAATAACTGCATTGGACGCAACAATTATCGTGTACGTGAATCAGATGAGAATTAAAATCGGATTGCTTACGTAGCTAAACGTGGTTCTGCTATCTCGACTGAACGCGGTGATAGTACTTTTTTTCATTTCTCGTGTGGCTTGCAGTCGGAGCTTATTATGCCACTTATATGAGCTATCGCATAGCATACACTGGATTGAGTTATCAGCAATTCTCTCGAGTAAGTTGGAGATGTATTTGGTGCTTGAGTCATGATGAGAAATTTACGTATCTAATGCTATTGGATTCCAGCTGCTTGTGATTTTTGAAGCAAATTCAGCCGCCACGGTTTTGACACTCGCTTTTACAACTTCTTCATCAGTTGCTGTGGCTATAACCGTTCTTGCAACTTGGCATGCCTTTCTAATCGCCACTGCACAAGTACGATCTTTCACCTTAATCGTGTTGCTTGCACGTAATCTAAAGATAATACCATTTTGTATTCAGACGTCTGTGGAGTGGCAAATCAAGCGCAAATCGAAAAATAAACGCTCTCATGGAGGCATTACGGCGAGTCCATATTCAAGTGGCAGTATACACGGCAATTGGGAACTTGTTTTTGGCAGGTGCAATTTAAAGATTTTAGCGCTTTTGCCGAGTACCCGCCTACCACCGAATTCTCGAACGCTTGATCAAGTGAAAAGGAGAGTAAATAGGAACAAGCGCGAGGCGACAAACTCTGTCGAAGCTACTCCCTCAGATTTGATCGTCTAAGCAATGACTTGAAAAATACGAGTACACAAGCATGCGTTCATTCACAACGTTCTATGGTTGGACAGTGCGAGTGAATGTGTAGATACAGTACGTGTCACTCATTTCGTTAAAGTGTAGAGCGAACAGTTCAGCCACAGCGTCGTTACCCACCAACGGATTTGTTTTGTAGTCATCAGTAACTTGTTCTATTTCACATGAGAAGCCACGGGCTTCAATCGAGTCTTTGAATTCCACCAGCGAGTGTCGTGCTTGCGAAGCGACGTGGATAAATCGTCCATTAGGTGCCAACATGCCATCTACCACGTTCACAAGCACGGGTACAATCTCCTGATGGTACACGAGATCCGAGCCGAAAAGCACATCGAATTTGTCCTCGTCACAATGAACAGGCCAAGTCTCACGTTCAGCCCAGTCAATGGCTTTTACCTGGAGTTCACCTTGCTGAGAAATAATCACGTTCTTCAGAGCCTCAGCATGTTCATGCTTGGCTTGTATCGCCTTGCAATCGGACTTGTGTTTCTTCCACGCCTTTTTCTGGCATTCGCGCGAACAGTAAGCGACAGATCTGCAACCACCACATGTCATGAGCTTGCCTTCTGGGTTGTCCTGTGTAAAGCGCTGAACAGCACCGCATCGACCGCAGCAATCAAGAACAAGTGCTTCTTCTCTTGATTTCTCATCATCTTGCGTCTTCTTGTCTACTTTGTTTAGCTCTACATTGTGTTCAAGGTTCTGAATGGTGTGAGCGAACAAATCCGATAGTACAACTTTGGTAGCATTTGTGTATTTGTGTACTGCAAGGCCACTCACTCCACATCCAGATCCAAGCTCACATACTTTCTTGCCATCAAAGATATAGCGGTGGTCTATAATCCACCGACTTAAAATGAGTGCTGCTGACCAAATAGACACTCCTGTAATATCCTCCTCCCCATTAGATCCAAACGCATCCTTGCTCCATTCCAGCGCAAGCTCTCGAGCTTTTAATGTCGGTAATCCTGGAGCAAACTCAAACTCTAGAACCGTTTCCTGCAACACTTTCGACAATCTGCTATCACAATCGTCGACCTCCTCAATCTCTTCTTTGATCGCGTCCTTGCCCATACCCGTGCCTTCAGCCAAACGCTCCTCTGTCGCTGAACTGTGTTCTAGTAGCATTGCCACTGCGACAGCCACATTGTTAAACCAACAAATACTGAATTTCTGCTTACGACCACTTACAAATCTCAGTGTCTTCACATTGATAAGCCTCTGTTACGCATCCACGGCCAAAACTATTGCGTGCAAGAACATCCAGATCTTTCACACCATTTAGAATTAACTTGACGATTTCGCGATGCTTATTTTGTACGGCCCAATCTGTAAATTTCAATACCAATGAGCCATTTGACTAGATGCCTTACGTAAAATGCTTCAATTTCATACGTAATGGCAGATTTCCACTGGCATTTGGCCTGTGTTTAGCACCATTGTTCAGGAGCTCGCGTACACACTCGACGTGGCCGTTTGCACAAGCTGTAGCAAGAACTGTAGTGTTAAGAATATGAAAGACATGTACCTAAAGATGTCAAGGTGGCGCACCCATGTGAAGCGGCGTATTAAGCGTCTCCGGCTGTACATAGTTAACAAGTGCGTCACGCGTAGTCCCCTCTACCGACTGCAGCAGTGTCGTAAGTTCCTTCTCGTCGCCAAAGCGCGCGCAACTAAGCACCTCCATAGCAAGTATTGGCGCACTTGATCCAGTCGTCAAATTTTAATTTTTTAGCCAATTAAACTGATTTTTTACGCTTTTGATAAGGAGATATACTTTTCAGTAATATTACCGAGAGTATGCGTGGTGTAATCACTAGCTACACAAGCTGAACTTGATCAGCGGAAAGCTCTGCGAGCTCGCTTCTTGGTACCACAAGAGATCCCAATATATCGGTACCACGCTCAACTTCGAGTTCAAAAAATAAAAGCTCCCGCAATGAGGACCATCCCTGTGGTGCTCGCCCCTAGCAAAACCGCTGCAGATGACGATGAGCTCTGAGCGATGGGTGCAGCGGCACCGGAAACTTTCTTCGCTGTCAACCTTACAGCAAAGTCACAAAAAATGGACGTTTGCTTTGAGCGCTATCTTATATTTTAGTTTGCCAAAATCAAGATGCAAAGCCGACTTCCTGCGTATTGTCGCCCTGCGACATATGGAACAATTCATAATGTTTCCGCGAGCTCTGTGGCTACTCACATGGGGAGTGTACGATCCGCTCAAAGGCCACGCTTCACAATGGAGCACCCTGGAAAAAGATTTCTTCAGCACCGAAGATGCACTTATCTGCATACATTTATTCGAGCGCATGCACTCGAGTACCGCTCTCAAATGGACGATGTATTTCTCTTCATTCCTCCACCCGTACTCCGAGCGACTGTGGGCGAAGATGTCGTCGAAGTAGTTCTGTGCATACGACCAGTGAGGCCTGAACAATTGCGTCACAAGACGATTAGACATTTCACAGCCCTCGGTGCATTTGACAGCCCTTAGGGTACTCCTGGAGCATGTTGCTCAGAGTACTTACCGCTGTCAACGGAATAACACTCGCTATCAAGAGCTTTTGGTGAAAAACCATCGACCAAGTCGAGTGCGTGGGGCTTTGTACAGCCAACCGTATCGTTCGGGAGAACATTCTTCCTACCAATCGGCGTCTGTGCCGCTTAGCATATTGCAAGCGTGAACGATACCTCACTCGCCGTTCGGCTTCCAGACACAAAACGTGGGTGTCGAATGGGGAGACTTACTCTCATGCACCATTCCTGCGTCG